AGAATCTCTGTGGATGATACGTCGTTCTTACTTTAAAAGATCCCCGGATAGTTTTTTAGTACCGTCTGGGTTGAAAATCACTGGACTAGGCAGTCTCACCTACTTCTAATGATTTCAGCTTCCATCCTGATGCAGACCCTCCACATGCGTCTTCATCTTCAGGCCTGATTATTGTCTCAAGCTCCCTTCCGGGGCTCTTGATAGTACCACAGGTACGTCACATTCAACAGATCCAAAACTGAATTTCCCCTTTTCCCTCCAAAATGTGTTCCATTTCCTGTATTTCCTAGCTGGGTGAACAGAACCACCATTAGCACAGTCACCCAAGCCAGAAATCAAGAAGTCATTTTTGACTCTTCCTTCTCCCTCTCTCCCTCACCTCCCATACCTCACTAATAATTCTCTTTGTTTGGTTGATTCACTCTCAAATCTATTCCCTCATCTCCATTCCCTCAGCCTCTCTGGCCTCCTCATCTTTCACCTGGAGTCCCGTAACAGCCCTTCATTGGTCTCCATGCATCCAGTCTTGTCCTTCTCTAGACCATTCTCCACAATGCTACCAGAGGGATCTTTCTCAAAACTTACCTAGTCGTGACACTCATATTCACATTAACTGCCAGAGAAAGGGATGTAAAGATGACTCAGAACCTATCCTGATTTCAAAGCCCTAATCTTAGAGCCTAGAAAGATGAGAAAGACATGTAAACATGTAAATGTAACAATCACAGATACTTTGTTAGTAGAGATAAAGAGGAAGATGAATTTGGGGGGGAGGCAGTGGTATGAGAAGGCTTTGTTGTTATTAAGTGCTGTCAAGTCAGTTCCAAATCACAGTAATCCTATGTACATAAGAATGAAACACTGCCCAGTCCTGCCCCATCCTCACAATCCTTGTTATGCTTGAGCCTACTGTTATAGCCACTGTGTCAATCCACCTCATTGAGGGTCTTCCTCTTTTTCACTGACCCTCTGCCTTCCCAAGCGTGATGTCTTTCTCCAGGGACCAGTCCCTTCTGATAACATGACTAAAGTATGTGAAACAAAGTCTCACCATCCTCGCTTCCTAGCAGCACTCCAGCTGTACTTCTTGCAAAACAGACTTGTTCATTCTTCTAGCAGTCCATGGTATACTCAATATTCTTCGCCAATACCCTAATTCAAATGCATCAATTCTTCTTTGGTCTTCCTTATTCATTGTCCTGCTTTTGTAGGTCCATGAGGTAACCGAAAACATCATGACACTGGTCAGGTGGACCTCAGTCCTTAAAGTGACATGAGAAGGCTTTACTGCATGTATAACCTACAGGAAAAGGGCATTCCACGGAGAGAGAGAAACACAAACAAAGCTAAGGTAATGTAGGTGATTTTACATGGCTGAGGCAAAAAGTAAGACATGCAGCAAGACACGAATCCCGGGATAGGAAAGAGGCAGACTTTCTAAGATCCTCCCAGGTGTAATCCCTTAATGGCTTCGCACTACATCAGGATCAAACTCTGCCAATTAGACACACAAGGTCATTCTCCAACTGCATATATATGCCCTCAATGGCTTCACACTACATCAGGATCAAACTCTGCCAATTAGACACACAAGGTCATTCTCCAACTGCATATATATGCCCTCCTAGCTTCATCTTTCATCATAACTCAAATCTCCCCCTTCTTCCAGCCATTCTAAATTGTTAGTTATTTCTTGAATACGCTAGGTTATCACACATTTTTGTATATTAATCTCTCTTCCAAGGATGCCCACCTCCTCTCTCATTTCCATAATGTCTAGATTCAGATTAGGAATCATCTCTTCTGAAAACTTCATTAGTTTACTGAGCACCTACTATGTGCTTTGCTATAAACTAGAGACATGATGAGATACAACACAGCCCCTCTTCTTAAGGAGTTTACTAACTAGTTGGGGAGAGAAATAAGAAAACATACCACTAAAATAGTGTAAAAATGCAGGTAGCAGTATACACAGGCTGCTCTGGGAACACAAGGAAAAATCATCTAACCCAGACTGAGGAGGGAGGAGAGTCAGAAAAAGTACCAGATGCCTGTGGACAGAACTCTATCCTCATCCTCTCAAGGGTGCTGCTCCCAGAATACCCTGTACTCATTTCTGTCAGTCTTTATCACACTGTATTGAATGGTCTGTTCCCTTAACTGCTTTCAGCTCTGGATTCCAAAGGGCCAGGGATGAGGATGAGGCTAAGCTACAGAAGACCTGGTAGACCTGGTTCATCATGTTACCTATTTAAAGCTAATGAGAATTTTTAAAGGAAACAAGAGGCATGATCAGATTGCTATTTTAGAAATGTAACCAGCAGCAGTGCAGAGGATAAGCTAGAGTGCAAGATCCAGAGGCAAGGAGGCCCATGAGGCAGCTGCTGACCCTGTTCAGGAAAAACGTAACCAAGGCCTAAACCAATCTACTGGCAACAAGAAAAAGACAAAAATTTCAGGTAGGAACAGGATCTATAGTAAATTTAACGTTGAGGAGAAAAGGTTTCTAGGCTGAGACTTAAAACAAAATAGAAGAGGTATTTGTGTATGTGGTTGAGGGGGTTATGGATAGAGGGAAGGGGAAGGAAAGATAACCAGGTTTGAAGGACCTATAGGATATCCAAGGAGCCCTGGTGGTACAATGGTTAAGTGCTCAGCTGCTAGCCGAAAAGTCAGCGGCTCGAACCCACTCAGCAGCTCTGTGGGAGAAAGACCTGGTGATCTACTTCCGTGAAGATTACAATTCTACTCTGCCATATAGGGCAGCTATGAGTTGGAATTGATTGACAGCACACCACAACTACAGGGCATCAAAGTATAGTTATCCAAGAGACACGTGAAAAGAGAGACCTGAAGTTCAAGAGAAATGGGAAATAAAAGTAGGTCTTTCAAAACCGTACACATATGAGGGCTAATTTGAAGCCGTGAAAGGAAGTGTAATCATGCAAAGAGGTTAGAGAGCAAACAGAGAAGAAAAATGAAATCCTAAGGAATGTCATGTTATTCTGAGAAAAAAAGAAAGGGAAGTATCAAGGGTTATCTGTTGCCATCGAGTCAATTCTGACTCCATAGGACACAGAAGAACTGTCCCATAGGGCTTCCAAGGCTGTAATCTTTACAGAAGCAGACTGCCACATCTTTCTTCCGCGGAGTAGCTGGTGGGTTCAAACTGCTGACCTTTTGTTTAGTAGCTAAGCACTTAACCACTGACACACCAGGGCTCCTTGCATCAAGGGTAGGTTTTTGTTTATTTGTCTTGGATGGTGGAACCCTGAGCATGTATCCAGGCTGAGAAGAAAAAAAAAAATGAGTACATACGGAGAGATCAAAGATGCTAGCCTTAAAAAGAAGACGCTCTTCCTCTGAGACACCACGGAGAGCAGAAATCAAATAGGTACAGACAAAAATGATGACCACCAATTTCTTCTGAGAATTAGGAGGGAAAATAATGATGAGAGGAAGGCAAGAGTAGGGCAAAGAGTTGCAGAAAAGTGGTAAACATATATATAGACAGCCATTTAGGTTTTACAACATAAGGGAGCAAGTCAAAGATCTCCAGGCAGTGCTGACAGCACACGTAAAGTTCAAATCCAGAAGGTTTAGAACAGCACCTAGAAGCTTAGTTACATGGTTTTCTTAGTTACGTGTTTTTTTCCAGCCTGCCCTGGGGAGCCCAGGAGCAGAAAAAGCTGACTGCTTGATTCATCCAGGCTTGGAGACCAGCAGAGCAAATGGGGCGAGAAGGGCATGAAGCCAGTAACACTGCTTTTATAATTAAAAAAAGAAAAAAGTCACGTTTATTTTCTTCTGGTATAGTAGCTATTTCCTCTACCAATCAGAGAGAAGGAAGTATGGTGGTGGGGTGGGGAGGATAATTCCTCTTTTACTCTGCCTTAGAGAGGAACTTGTCCAAACTTTCACTTCTAGCATATGTGATCCCTTTAGCCCTTGATTCCAAGGAATCCAAACCTGATTCCTCCAGGTTCTTAAAGGAGGAAAATTCACTGCAGCTACCTGGACTATCCATGACAGCTAAACACGTGAAACACTGCTTATATACAATGCTAGTTCAGCATTGAGGTGGGGCCTCTTTCTTCCCTAAAATGAAAGGTCCAGTCACCACTGGAGCTTATACTGCCAAGCTCCCTGAATAGCAGCCTAAGCATACTTGCTCTTCTAAATAAACGCACTGAGTAGATAATTGAAAACTGAATCCCTTGATCACACCCACAGTTCACCAACTCGTCCTTCCATCTCTGAGACCCCTCTTCAGTGGAGGAGCAAATCTCTTTTGATACTGGTCCTCTGGCTACCACCACGTGAGGAGCACAAAGGCCTGGAAGGCGCAAGAGGCCAACATGCCTACTGTGTGCCAGAGTCCGGAGAAGGGCCTTTCTAGAGTATGGGCACAGCTCATATAGAGACGAATTAAGATAATACAACTATGGATCAGCAGACTGGAAACGCGAGGGGTCAAGTGACTGAAGGTTTCAGAGTAAAGGAAAGGAAGAAGTCTTGGCGACAGCGGGGGATGAAAGTGAGGAGAGATGAGATGGATTAGGGAAGGAAGGCAGGCGTCTGGAGGCAGAAGGGCGAGGCCCGGCAACACCTGAAATGTCGAGGGGCGACAATGCACGGACAGGGACGGGGCTGATCTTCGGAAGCGTGGCCCGGGTGGCGGTGAAGACAAGAGTGCTACCCCGCGGGGCGGAGGGTCTCGCCCGGGGAAGGCGCCCCGAGGACTGCGCGCTGGGACAGGGGACCCGCGTAGAGAGGCAGCAGGGGAAGGAGGGGTGAAGGCAGAGGCCGACCACGGCGACAGGGAAGCCCAAGACGGGGACGCGCTGGAGACCGGAGGAAGGGGTGCGGGAGCCAGGCTGGGGGGCAGGGGGCAGCTGCCGGGGGCAGAAGGCTACGCGGAGCCGAGGAGCCCAACACCGAGCCCCGCGAGGCTCTCAGCCGGGTGGCGGCGACTCGCAGAGCGCGCGGCGTCCCCTTACCTGGGATGCGTGAGGAGCCGCGGCGCTGCCGCCCCAGCATCCTGGGCTCAGCCGCTTCGTCTACCGCCCTAGGTGGGGGCCATGCCGCCTGCTCTGGCAGCCCGATCGCACTGGCAGGCGCCAGCGACTGCCAGACCAGCCGGCTCCGCGAAGCAGCGCCGCCGCCAACCGCGCCCGCGGCCGCCTCAGCAGCGACTGCCGCCGTCGCCGCCTCAGACCCCAACGCCAGCCGCCCGGGCGCCCACAGGATCACACGCGCGCCGCGATTGGCTGCCGGGCGCGCGGACCTAGCGATGTGTCGACCTCTCTGATTCGTTGCGGGGGCGGGACGTGCGGCGGCGCTCCGAATTCCACGGGGTCCGCTATAGCTGAGGGTCGACGTCGCGGCCGCCTTCTGAGTCTGCGTGGGCCCTGAGGGACGCTCGGTCTAGCCCTGAAGGAGCCGCGCGCAGGTAACAGTATCACCGCCCCAAATACCGCATGGCGGTGCTTCAGATGCCCTTTCTCCTCCTGGACGCCTTTCATCCACAAAACTCTAGGGCTCCGTGATTAAGCACTCCTATTTGAAAGATCAGCAGTTAAACCCACCAGCTGCTCCTCAGGAGAAAGATGTGGAAGTCTGCTTCCCTAAAGATTAAACCAAATCCGTTGCCTGGAGTTGATTCCGACTCATAGCGACCCTATACGACAGAGTAGAACTGCCTCATAGGGTTTCCAAGGAGCGGCTGGTGGATTCGAACGACCAACTGCTTTGGAAACCCTATGGGGTAGTTCTATTGTGTCCTGCAGCGTCGCTATGAATCAGAATTGACTCACGGCAAGGGGTTTGGCTGTCCACTAAGGTCCCTGGGTGTTACAAATGGTTTGCGCTCCACTACTAACCTAAGGAGCCCTGGTGGCACAGGGGTTAAGCATTTGGCTGCTAACCAAAAGGTGGCGGTTCAAATCCACCAGTCACTCCTTGGAAACCCTATGGGGCAGTTCTACTCTGCCCTGTAGGGTCTCTAGGAGTCTAAATCAACTGGACAGCAGTGGGTTTGGGGTGTTTTTTGTTTTTTGTTTTTACTAACCTAAAGCTTGGCGGTTTGAACCCACCCAGTGTCACCGCAGAAGAAAGGCCTGGAGATCTGTTACTGCAAAGTTTACCGCCAAGAAAACGCAGTGGAGCGCAGTTCTACTCTGTAATATGTGGGGTCGCTGTGGAGCACAGTTCTGCTCTGTAGCGCATGGGGTCTCCATGAGTCCAAATCTATTGGATGGCAATGGTGGAGGAGCTTTCACCTCATTGGAGATAACTCGCAAATGCAAACATCAAAATCACACGATATACCGTTCCACACAAAAATGAAAATGAGTGTTAGTATATTCTTTCACGACTACAGGTGCGGGGACACTTACTGCCTTAAGAAAGAAGTGAAAACTAGGAAGGGAGAAAAGGGCAAAGAGGAAAGGGAGAGGTTGGGAGAGGGCTGAAACTTCACAATTTAAAAATTCACTGTTCGGTTTGACAGTTCTTTCCTTGCTGCGCATCCGTAAGAGGTTCTGTCAAAACAACTATTCCAATTCTATTAACGTGGATTGGAAAAAGCATGGGCTCGGGAATCTTAACAGTTGTATTCAAAATTCCTGTCTACTGTCTTGGAATGCGTTCTGTTATCTATAGAATGAGGTTTAATAATGCAACGAGCCGTTATAAAGGCAGTAGGCACCCAGAGCAACGAGAGTGGCATCACTAAGCTCCTTCCCTGGGAACTACACTCAGCATCTCAGTATCAAGCTGCCATAGCTTTATCTCGATTTATTTTGTGCATCCATTAGCAAGGTGTGTCCTAAGGTATCAGAAAAGCCTAAGAGAGCTGGTAAGGGTGTATGTTTAGCCTCAGTGTGCTCACTGTCTTCCCAATTCTGGTAAGTGAAGCTACACTGTACATACATTATTTCGTCTTTATATATAGGCTGTGTATTTATCATATCTTTCCTGCTTTATTATATGTTAGTGTTATTTTAGGTTTTATGTGTTATCCAATATGATATGGGGGGTTATTTTTTTGAGTCTGAAAACACTCCAAAAATTTTCCCATATAAATTGCTTCTTCACTTTATGCCATTTCGGCTTAGGAAAGGTTTCATAGGAATGCTGTATTTTCAGACAGCAGGGGAAACCTGTACTGAGTTTCTGTCTGGGGTGATGAGAACTTTTAGGAAATAAAGAGTGGTGATGGTTGCACAACATTGTAAATGTTGTCGCTTAGTATCCAGGGGCATTGGTTGCAGGACCCCCATGGATACCAAAATCCATGGATGCTCGAGCCCCTTATATAACCTCCACGCATCCTCCCGTATACTTTAAATCATCTTTAGATGACTTACAATACCTAATGCAATGTAAAGGCTATGTGAATAGTAGTTTCATCACAACTGAATACTTGCTCCGGAAGGTAGCCTTTCTCTTGTATGAGTTTCTTGCGCTCTTCTGGGAACGCCGATGCTGCCTGGACATCAGCCACTGTGATTCGGCCGTAATCTTGAAGTTCTTGAGCCTGTAGCACTTTATAGAGCTATCCAACCATCCCTCACTAGCTTGAAACTCCTTCCTCTGTCTCTTCTCAACCCCTCACGCTTAGACTTTGAGGAACTGCTTTGATCACTTCACTGCTTTTTAGGAGCCATTTTTTCACAGAAACAAAGAGTACACACAACACAAGTAGAGAACGAACAAGAAGCATGGTGAACAATGCTCAAACGAGTGCTGGAGAGAGACTGAGGATGCATGAAATGGCGGGAGGCTACAGCAGGGGATGCTTACGTATCACTTCATTCCCGTGGATTCAGCGTGGTGCTCGGCAGGCGGCAAATTCCAAGTTTTGCTTTTTGGAATTTCTTTTGTTTCGGGGTTTTTTTTCCCTGAATATTTTCTATCAGCAGTTGGTTGAATGCACGGATGTGGAACCCACAGATACAGGAGGCTGACTGTAATTAATACCCCTGAATTGTACACTAAAAAAATGGTTAAGATGGCAAACTTTGTTACATATATATTTTACCACAATAAAATTACAGAAAATGAGCAAGGTCAGCAGGCAGAGAGCAAGGGGAAAGAGAAGGAAGGAAATGGTGACTGTAGACCTGTGGGCAGCACCCAAAGTCATTTAACCAGTCTTTTTAACCTTAAGTGGGGCCAAGTCCCAGTATATGTCGTGCGTTTCAGGCGCCTTCAGAAAAGAGCTCACCATGACCTCAGTAATATTGAAGCCACCGCTGGTACTACAGGGCATTAATCCCTAAACACAGCCCCTGCCAGCCTCTCTCCACAAAACAGAGATGCAACTGTCTTGAGATGACCTCTCACACTGCCCAGAAAATCCTTCACCCACCTATGAGATCTAAAAGAACTTAGTATCCAGGTAGGGGGCTGGCACTTATCCTCCTAAACTAGTTGCTGTCAAGTTGATTCTGACTCTTGGCCATCCCATGTGTGTCAGAATAGAACTGTGCTCCGCAGGGTTTTCAGTGGCTGATTTTTCAGAAGCAGATCACCAGGTCTTTCTTCTGAGGCAGCTTTGAGTGGACTTGAACCTCCAACCTTTCAGTTAGCAGCCAAGGGATTTGTGGTCAAGGTCAAGCTACCTGCTTGTCATGCGACAGAGTGTCTCACTGAGCAAGACAGCTTCTGGTGGCCCAGGGGCCACGATCTGTGGCCGACACTGTTCAGCCTTTGTGCCAGAGACTAGGAGCGTCTTATCTGAAGCGAAGCTGAGGGTCATTTGGGAACAAACTGAGCCTTTTCCTGCTTTCTAAATCTGTCCCCACCCCGTATATTATACGTACTAATAAAAACAATCTTCGTCGGGAGCAAGGGAGAACGAAGAAAACCAAAGACACAAGGGAAAGATTAGTCCAAAAGACTAGTGGACCACAACTACCACAGCCTCCACCAGACTGAGTCCAGCACAACTAGATGGTGCCTGGCTACCGCCACCAAGACTGCTCTCACAAGGAACACAATAGAGGGTCCTGGATAGAGCTGGAGAAAAATGTTGAACAAAATTCTAACTCAAAAAAAAAAGACCAGACTTACTGGCCTGACAGAGACTGGAGAAACCCCGAGAGTATGGCCCCTGGATACCCTTTTAGCTCAGTAATGAAGTCACTCCTGAGGTTCACCCTTCATCCAAAGATTAGACAGGCCCATAAAAAGAAATGAGACTGAAGGGGCACACCAGCCCAGGGGCAAGGACTAGAAGGCAGGAGGGGACAGGAAAGCTGGTAGTAGGGAACCCGAGGTTGAGAAGGGAGAGTGTTGACATGTCGTGGGGTTGGTGACCAGTATCACAAAACAATCTGTGTACTAATTATTTAATGAGAAGCTAGTTTCTTCTGTAAACCTTCATCTAAAGTACAATAATAAATAAATAATCTTCAAAATACACTCTGATGTGAAAAGACCAAAGTTCAAAAAAGTATATATAATATACTCATTTGTATTTTTTAAAAGTATATACACACACACACACATACATGCTTGTAATTTTCAGAGACAATCTCTAGAAGGATACACAGTAAACTGATAACAGTGATTGTCTCTGGGAAGAAAACTGAAGTGGGCACAGGAGTAGGGAAGAGACTTTTCACTCTATACTCTGGCCCCTTTTGAATTTTGTGCCGTATGCTTGGATTACCTATTTAAAATAAATAAATACATCTTTTTTTTTAAGAAAAGAACTCTCTGGACAACTCGCTGTTCAAGCCTATACGACCGTCTGGTTTACGTGACATGTATTTTCTCTGTGTAATTTATTAAGCACTCATATGGAGTACGTCACGTCCAAACAGGACATCAGGGTTGGCAAAGTAGAGGGTCAGCGAAAATGAGGGAGACCTCAATGAGATGGATTGACACAATAGCCTCAACCATGGACTCAAACATACCAACAGTCATGAGGTGACACAGGATCAGGCAGTGTTTCGTTCTGTTCTACATAAGGTCGCCATGAGTCGGAACCAACTCCATGACAACTAACAACACATGAGTACACATATTCTGAGCGCTCTCTGTGTAAGTTTTCCCTCCCCAGCCTTACCTTTTCCAGGTGATCAGCTCAGACTCTGATAACCTCCTCTGAGGACATAGACAGCTTCACCCCTGATGAACAGGCAATTCAAAGGACTCAGAGCTTGTTTCTTCCCAACAGCCAGGGCAGTCCCCTCAGGTGCAGAAAAAG